ATATATATATATATATATATATGAGATTGAAGTTGTAAAGCAAGATAATTACACAAAATATTCAAATCCTTGTTAATTAAGCACAAGGAGAAATGAACAAATGTTTTTAAAGATTCTGCTTCACTGGTTTGAAACATACAGCATGAAGAAATGACTTTTTGCTTTTTGGTAAAGACATCTAAACTCTTTTTACTTAAACTGAGTTCAAAGTTGGGACACAATATCTGTTACAGAGAATCATTGACAGATTTATTACACATTTTCAGTTTAGTCACATTATAGGTGTTTAAGTATAAGAATTCAAAGAATGTGATAAAGGTCAGTGAGATTTCAGCTGTATGGTATCAATTTTTGTATTGTTTCCAAAATACTATTTCATAAGTTAATCATTTTGCTCTATCAAGATTTTATCTTCTATTCAAAGTCAAGTTTAAAAGCGTATCTAATGTCTCATGTTTGCTTGAAACTCAAAGGGTTAGAAGCATATCTGATTTCTCATGTTTGCTTGAAAGTGAAAAGGTTAGAAGGTGGTCTGATGTTTCATGTGTACTTGAATGAACCATGTTTAAAGAACATATTTAAGACATTTAAATGTAGGATAGTGGAATTTGTTGTTTCAGTAAGGTATTGTATTTGATATTCCACATTTAGAAACTTTGGTACTTTTAAGGTATATGTGTTTACAAGATTTATGACTTTTTTGTATTACATTTAGTTTTGAATACTTTTCTGTTATTGTGAAGCATATATTAATACAATTTTTAGTTGATGTGCTTAACCCCCATAAAATATGATCAAGATTTCAAACTTGTAATAAATAGTTGAAAGACAAGTCTTGCTTTTCAATCTTGTGTGTGTGACACATTTGTAGCTTTGATATCACTAAATAATTACATGAGATTACCATAGGAAGAATAGAAGTGGTAGTGTTTGTTTTACCTAAGTTTACTGTTTGATTTCACATTTTCTGTGATTGTGTTAGAAATATCTGTACTTGATATTGATTTATGGAATGAAGCAGGTCACTTTGTGAAAAATGTTTGTGGAGTTTTACCAGCATGAAGAAATAGTTTCATTCAGATGTCTGTATTGTACACTAGCTGATCTGTAATTTGCCTCACAAGAGATCCTTGCCATTTAAAAGGTATTAGACAAATATCACCAGTTGTGTGCAAGTTCATTTACACTCTACTTTCTCATCATTTAAGGTTCTTCATTCAAAAGTATTTCAATGTGAAGTTGAATATAGCAATACAATTTTCATGATAGTCCAAAAAACTGATTCCCTGTTTAGTTCAATAAAGATTGTGTTTAATCTCTGGAGGAAAGGCCAAATGTAAAGCAGCTACTGTCTTTGTGCTAGTAGTCTCAGGTATTTGAAAGTATAACCTGTGTAAGAGGTAAAATTAATGGTGATGTCATCTTTTTGTTGGCAGTCTCAAGTGTTGACAAAATGTGGTCCGTGGAAGAGGTACAATTAACGGTGATGTCATCCTTTTGTTGGCAGTATCAAGTGTTGATAAATGTGGTCTGTGGAAGAAGGTCAAAGAAACATTTGGATTCTGACTCATAACTTGCTTTAATAACAAACATTTGTACTTGGGAAGTTGAGAGAACATACACATACTTACTTTCTGTCAAATATAGCAATATTAGTGTGCTATCAGGAAGGTATTTGTGTTAACTATTTAAAATTGTTTTGATGTTTCCAGTTTTTATTGCTCAGAATTTACGGTCCAAATAAGTTAGTTATTTTTAGTTGTCAACATATCTCTTTTTCATTGAAAATCATCAACGTCAAATATTTTAAATTATTTATCTGACAACTCGCATTCTTTAGTTTGTATATTTCACATACATATTAAGTTTTGTCTTCTATTGTAATTTTATTGGTTGCATATAATTTAGTATTAAAGCTAGTTTATTATGTTTTCAAAAACATCTATAAAACATTTTACCTTATTTTTCATTGCTTTCAAGAAAATTCCCTTTTTCAGTACAAGAAACTGTGTGTTTACTTTAAAGATTAACATTTTTGCACAAGTTGTACAAGAAAACTTAAGTAAGTTTTGTTGTAAGCTGAATTTTTTGTACTTTAAGTATCTAACTTGCAGCAGTGATATTTCAGTTAATTGTAATTGCAGATTTCATTAAATTTAGTCAAATAAATTTTTAGACTTCTTTATGTCAAAAATATCCTAAGTGTTTTAGAAAGCAGTTAAATAGTTTTTGGAAGGTAGTATATTTTAGAACTATAAAGTGTATCACTGCTATATTCTTTTTGGATATTCAGAAATAAAATGTCCTGACAATCTATTTTTCTTTGTGATACTGTATTGTTCTTGTAAAATATTTCTGACTTTTAGATTTTGAAACAAAAATCACAAATTTGCATCTTTGCTTATAGAAGCACAAGTTTGTACTGTATGAAAATGTTCTGTCAAATGATGATACTGCGTTTAAATAAACTTTTTACTGGGAATGTACCCAGATTTATTATTTAAATGTTAGCAGTCAAAATGGGCTAACATAAATGCAGTATTTACTTCACATTATTACAAAAATGTGTGCTTTGAAGATTAATATATAACTAATACTTATGAGGTTGGCAAAGGTTAGAATAAATGGAAAGAAATTGTTAGTAATTTATTTTTGGGGCTTTTGAATCCTATATTCTACCAATAACTGAATAAGCTAAAATATCACAGAATGTATCTTTTTGTAAGTTTTATGAAATTTCTTTATGACCTATCTGTTATGTGTTTAAACCATGTTTGGTTACATTACTTGTATATCTATACTAACTGGAGCTACCAAAGAACTCCTGTTACACATTTTTAGGAATTATGGATTATGTAATATGGATAATGTCAATTGTACTTAGTCTCATTGTTAATTCATGTATTAAAGTAACACAGTTAATATGGCAATTTGTATTTGTAGTGTTTCCTTGAAGATTTATATTAAATGAAGAGTTGTAAGTATTCTTTGCAAAATAATATTTTTTCGGTTTCACATAATTGTTTTCACACTTAAAAATGCAAAGTGTATGAACACTTATAAGGTGTTTTGTAAATTAATATTTTTTCAGTTTCATATGACATTTTTAGAGCTAAAATGTAAAGTGTTCACCCTAAAACTTGGTTTATGTAAATCCCTCCTTCTGGGGAGTAACATTGTCTTAGAATTACTTGGGGCCCAGTTGATTATTATTAGTGGGTTTGATAACAATAAAGCGACCTGTTACAGTACATATCAAAATTAAATGGGTACAACTATGAATTCCAAATAAAGAATAACATCTTTGTACTGGAATGCAGTTGATGGAAATTAGTTGTAGACAGATGAGACCCATTTCACTCTTCATGGTCATATACATAATTGTGTCGTCTGTGCCAGTGGAAATCCATGAACCACAGCAGGACAACTTTTGTGTTTTCCGAAGGTCATAGTGTAATGTGATTTCACTACTGACTTTACTCTGGAGATTTTCTATGACACAATCATTCTATAGTAAGTTGTTCCACACGCTTGTGAGACCAGTGTTTCAGCAGTATGGATGGGTCCAGGATGCCACATCCATGCAGGGCAAGCGCCCCGCTTGTAAAGGTATTGCTCACACAGGCTTTTTATGAGGCTCGAGATCTGGACTGCCATGGCCATCATGCTACTTTGACCCCACTTTTGCTAACTAATGGTTATGAGGTTTTTTAAAGATGCGAGTCTCAACAATTGTTCTTCAACTGAAGGATGTCATTATGACAACGTTTTTTCGAAGGATGTTAAGCACTGTAGTATCGAATACTACTGTCAGGAGAAATGCAATAACAGAAAATGATGGTGAGGACATTTAACTGTTATTAGAGTGGCTCACTCTGGTGGCCGCTTCAGACACCATTTAAATGTACCCGCGATTCATTATGCATGTACGAAAAATATGTTGTCTATACTTCACGGTTCGCCCCAAAAGACTGTACCAAAATGCCTACACTGACTTAATAATAACTACATTTTTACTTGTAATATTTCACCTTTTCTGTTTGTCTCGGTCGTTATTTCCGTAGCAGTTTTGTTTAATTTTTTTACATTGAATATCTTTGAATCTGTAATACAGGTTATTAACTTTTATATGCTGTGTGCATATTTCTGTTCCTTCATATTTGCCATTTACATCACGGTGCATTAAATTAGGAGAATCTAATTTGCAAATATATAATTTTTCTTATCACATCTGTAAATTTTATGCTGCTAAAAATAACATTTCATGTGATTTACCCAAAAATGTTATCCTATTTTTACATTATTATTTTGTAAGATGTCAGTTATAAATAAAGGCAATATTTTTGTCTGGCGGTACTATAATATGTAATTTACTAAAATGGCCCCTGTTAACGTATAATGAAAAGAATGAGTAAAATAGTGACAGAAACTCAATTAGCAGATCCCATTATTCAGTGAGAACATTTTTAACGTAAAACGCTGGCACCTGTTGCTCATTATCTTAACTAAAGTATGTGCTTCGTTTCAATTTCATAAGTACAGGAAAACAACTTTCTGGCATCCTAGCGGCACATCGGTAAGTCTGAAAGCTTATAATGCCAAAATCTGAGCTTCGATACCCGTGGTGGGCACAGCATAGATAGCACATAGTGTAGCTTTGTGCAGAACTACAAAAACCTAACCTACCATGGAATAACGGTGATTTTATTATGCATATGCAGTTCACGGTCGAAGTTAAGTTGGAAATTCCAAATATCTAAGGATAGCTTTTATTTTATATCAATAAGCGATTTTTTTTTTATGTATGATTTGATAGTCGACATCAGTTTCAGAA